TTCGTATGTTGTCTGAGATTGATTTAATCCAATATAAGACGAATAGCCGAGAAGAATAAATCTAGATATAGACAATTGTATTTACTGTATATTTAATAACAAAGGCAATGGATGAATAAATAAACTTACAATGCATGTCCCTGATAATGCAGTATAATAATAAAATATAAATATTATGTTAAATACGAATAGACGGATACGTATCACTTCACCGACGCTCTTTCGTAGACATAACATTTCACCGACAAAAATTCACCGACAATTATTTCACCGACAAGCAGTGTTTAAAATTCGATGTTCTCAGTGTTCTCAGTGAACACTAAAGTTATTTTAAGAACATCAATATTTAAATTAATGTTCTCTTATTTGAGAACATTTTGTATAGATAGAATGTTCTCAAAATATTATTATTATTAAACAATTAAACAATTTTAACTTTTTTACTACTATATTAATCTTACTTAGGCTCTTAAGTAAAGTTGAAATGTTAAAATTGGTCTAGTATATCATGAGTTATACCTATTTTAATTTTTGTGACTAAGTTTTCTCTTTGCAAATTTGCAAAAAAAAAACTTATAGTTACAAAAATTAAAATAGGTATAACTCATGATATACTGTACCAATTTTAACATTTCAAGTACTATTAGAATCAAAAAGTTCCTGTGCACAACTTTACATAAGAGCTCAAGATAGGTTTACTTGATAAAAATATAAGTTTCTTTAAAAATAATATTTATATAATGAGAACATTAAACAATTTTTGAGAACATTAATGCTCTAAATTTAGCTCACTTGAGAACATAGTTTTGAATTTGAATTTTAAACACTGCCGACAAGTATATTTCACCGACAAGTTCATTTCACCGACAGTTTATTTCACCGAAGCTCATTTCAAATACAAGCTTTTTTTTATAAATCCCACCAACCTTAACTCTAATTCTAACCTGACCTTAACGACAATGACCAGAATAATTTTGTCGGTGAAATGAGCTTCGGTGAAATAAATTGTCGGAGAAATGAACTTGTCGGTGAAATATACTTGTCGGTGAATAGTTGTCGGTGAAATGTTATTTCTACGAAATGAGCGTCGGTGAAGCGAGCTGAACCGGAATAGACAAATGTATTCATTGAATATAACTTGAAGATGTTATTATCCGACATTTTATATTATTATAAGATTTTTCCTTTATTGTTTTGCACGAGATTCGTAGTCATCTGTGCCAAATATCATAGGAATAACAATCGTAATATGGTCATATATAAATATCGGATAACATCAGTACGTATTAGGCATACGATTAATACTCAGGAAATGTTTTCATCTTCTGCTAATTGTGTACTTACCATTGCAATGACAACTGTAACAAAAAACAACAAAAATGCTCGTAAAGAAATGGCAATATTTATGATTATATTAAGATACTGTGCAAAACCTAGATTTTTATGTAATCATTGTGCATATAAGCTTAAACAATAATTTATCAAAAAAAGTATTATTAAAAAATACTGTACCTTCAATTACACGTAATGATAAAATCTAACAGAAGTACATTAAATGAATAGCATGAAGGTGAAAAAAGAATTTGCGATTATGCAGAAATGGATGAGGATATACTTACGAACTCGATCCAAAGAATTAAAATACTTAAGAAAATAATAGATGTCAAAAGTTGGCTACTTTCAGCATTTTGGAATCCATCTTCAAAAGTATAATAATGAATTAAAATATAACTAAATATAAATATTGGTACAAAAAGTGATAGAAGATCTACAAAATTAAAAAAGTCGAAATATCTCCATTGTTTATGATTGAATTGTTTAAATTCAATTACTAGGTGGTAATATGATAAATAATAAAATAATACAATGATCGTAATTATTAACATATGTTGAGGTGTACCAGTTATTTGAATATGGGCAATGTATGTCCATGAAATAATTGAATAAGTTAAAAAGTACAAAGAAAATGCATACAAGTTTCTATGCCAGTAGAATTTAGAAGAATGCCACATCCAATTAATGACAGCTCCCATTGAAGGGTTTTCATATAAAAGATCCCGTTCACCTCTTTTTACGAGCTTAATAAAGGGACTGTAATCCTCCTCCTTAAGAGATGAATGTTGACTAGGAGAAATTAATCTCTTTAGAAAATTTCTAGGTTTTCTTTCTCTTATATCTGATATTATTTTATTTGTTGTGAAATTTGTTAAAGGTACCATTCGAACATCAACAATTTTATTATAACTGCGGTAAATTTGAAGTGAAATTGAATTAATTATAGTAGGATGCGCAAATATTTTAAAGAAAATGATTATCTTCATACTCGATCACTTGTAGATTCAACTCGGAATCCAATGGAATCAACTGTGTTATAGGTATAAGAACTTTCAATAGATCATTTGACCTTGGTAAAATTTCGATAAATTCAAAAGAGAATAAATCCAATTGCTTGTTACAAAAGCAGGGATTATACAATAATTTTTGAGCATAATATTTATAAGGTTTTACTATTGAATATTAATATTATAAAAAGTTCATATAATTATGTGTTAATATGATAAAATTATACTTCATTCTCATAAATATTATCACCTTTTTCTTTTTCTTTTCTATTCTTTTCTTCACTATAATATAATTCTGGTATGATGTCCACAACTGTATTCATCCATTCAAGATTATGAATTGCATTTTTAGAATAATATTCTAAAAAGCATGCCAGCATTGTATGATCTTCGTGATCTTCGGATGGGAAAGTGAAAAATTTTTTAACATTTAACGCGCATAGTATACATATTTAAAAATAGCCAACACAATGTTAAGTATACAAACCCAAAAGGGCAGTATGAATTGCATTTATTTCACCTGACCAAGCAGAGTATTGTGGTATATGAATTAATTCTCCGAAAGATAAAATGTCATTTACAAGTTCATAATCCCCAGACTCAATAAGAACACACATTAAATTATAGCGAATATCTAATAAACGCCATTTAGTTGGGTACAATCTAATAAATCTTAAGATTATTTTTCGTGTTTGTTCGATTATGCTATCCAATTTTTCCAATTTTAATTTTTTATCATCACCATAAAAAGTCTGTTCAGACTTTTTATAAATAGAGAAATATTTAAGTGTCTCACAAGCATATTTTGCTACATTTATAATATCGTCTTCATCTTCTATTTTAATTTGGAAAGAATCTTTAGTATCTTCAGTTAGAATATTAAGCTTGAATTTTCCGATACAAAGCTCGATTTCCATTACTTTTATTATTTTGGATTCCCATTTTTCTACCTCAGGTATATTTAAAAAGGGAGCTAAAGGCATGTAGATGAATTCAAGAGTTCTTCTCTTGGGGCCTTGATCGTACCAAACTTGAACAGTATGATTTCCAATTAAAAGCAGCTTTTCCTTTTTCTCATCTAGATAAAACGAACATTGTGGACTGCTTAAATTATTATCATCATCAAGCAACCAAGGTTCAAATATATAATAATATTCATCTAATTTAGATTCTTTATCATGAAGATCTCGGATATTTTTATTGAGACCTTGTCTCAAGAAATAATCTTCTGATAGTTTCATCCAATCATGTTTATCACTTTTCTTCAAATATTTCAAATATTTATCTACGATTAAATCATCATAAATAACAAGATTGTTAGCCTTTTTAACGACCATGAATGAATTTGATTGCACCATATTGTAAAAATCTACATTAAGATCTATGGTAAATTTGGGATTTTCTAATCTAACAGAATCTCGTAATGTTCCGAAAATATTCCAGATAGACAACTTCTTTCCTGAAGAATAAATAAGTAACATCTCGTCATTGTGAAAAAAAGCAATAAAATCAACATTAATGAATTCTGGATTTGCAATAATAAGCTCTGCTATTTCAAGACCGCATTCAATAAAATATAATTTGATTATTTTATTAACGCTTTCATATGCTAATAATTTGCCATTGTTTGATACTGCATAACGATAAGGAAAATCAATCACGATCGATTTGTGAGGAATCTGTCTCCGAAAAGTATTTACCAATTGGTTGGTCTTTAAATCATAAAGTTCTATATACTTAAAATCTTCTCTCATAGTATCAACTAAAAAATAATGCTTGTTTAAACATAAGCAAAAATATTGGCATATAAAATTATATACGTTACTCAGTGAATCGGTTTCAGATTGTTCAGATTGTTCAAAAAGTGGATCTAAGTTATTAATAATGGCGTTGTATATTCTTTGTGGGTATTTTAACTTTTGTATGTTATTAATAGATTTATTCTTCATCTGGTACTTATAGATCCCTGAAAATGTTAAAAGAATAAGAAAGTGCCTATCAGCATTTTCTTGATTGCTTTTGTCTGTTCTTAGTTTATCTTTTTCAGTTTTTCGATTAGTCATATAGTTCTCTTTAGAAAAAAATTTGACTATTCCACCATATTTAATCGGCAATCCCATATTATCAATATAATTGATTGAATAATCATTATTAATAACAAAAACGAAAGTAAATCCATTATTAGGAATTTCCGTCGGATGCATTTTGCTAGAATTTTTTTTATAATCTATCATATCTTTACGATTGATACAAGATATTGCTAATAACCTAAATTCTGATGAGCTAGTTGAGCTAG